TGCTCTACGAGTTGCTGTCAGTGGCAAAAAATAGCAAACTGGCTTCGACCAAGTTGTGCACAGCTTTGAAGACTCTTCACAAGAACAAAGACATGGACTTGGTGGTGACCCAAAAGAAAAGTTCAGAGGATTGCATCGACCAGCTGGATTTTACCATTCGAGTCTTGATGAATATGTTGCGCAACTTAAAGATGAATCCTGTCTTGAAGTCCAAGACATGGCGCTCCCTTTGCCGTCCTGACCAAGTTCGATTGGATATGGTTCTGGAGAGATTGCAGCTACCTGCTGAATTGATGGCTGGTGCAGAAGTTGACATGGAGGAGGAGAAGATTTCTTCTCTAACTACAGTTCCTGCCCCAGCTTCTCCTTTGCCTTTGACCAATGGGGATGAACCAATGGAGGTTTCGAAAAAAAAGCATGCATCCGACAAAATGAAACCTCTGCCAGCAGTCTTCAAGAACATCATTGGTGGTGATCAATGTGCTTCCAGTGCAGGTTCCACTGGAAAAGCCGGTTCCACTGGAAATGCAGCATCTACGGAGACTGAGGCAAAGGTCGCAATTCCGAATATTTTCCACAATGTCTTGGCTGATGCCATGAAGCACAAGCCTAAACTCAGCAAAAAACAGGATGAGAAGCCCAGTTGCAAAACAGGCAATGGAAAAACCGCGATCAAGCAAGGAAAAAAGGCGACACCAAAGAAGAAACATGGCTCCATCAAGAAAAAGAAATCCAGCACAAAACTCCAGCCTTCTCCAAGCAAGAAATCTGAGGGGAAAGATTCAGCAGCGGTGGAGGCTTTGGGCAAAGAGTACAAGGCTGGTGAGATGATGCAGCACAGGGATCAGTGGGTGGGGCACTTCCTGAAGGATATGCAAGGCAAAGGAATTGATTCTTCCAGGGCTGATGCACTCAAGGAATGGACGACCTCTTTGTGCCGCGCAAAGCTCTTACAGCATCTATCCTTGCCTGAATTGAAGAGAAGGAGGTTCATCAGTAAGGAAGCTACCACCAATCCTTTCTTAGAGCGAGTAGAGAAGGAGAAGCATACACAGTAGATCTTTTCAATTTTGAACTCTGCAGCCAGCTGTGCACATTGGGAAAAACAATATATGGAGCTGGACAATTGCTGCTTATGTATTTTCCATAATTTACTTGAAGCATTTGTTTTTGTATAGCCACACATGTGCAAATAGACCAGCCCACTTGTCAAATTATTTGAGCATGTCAACCACTTTACTTGTGATTTTCTTTTTGTGAGCATGTCAACCTTTTTACTTGTCAAGTTTACCTGTGCAGTTACTTGAGCATGCCAGCCACTTTACTTGTGATCTTTTTGGTGGGCATGTCAACCTTTGTACTTGTGAACTTTACCTGTGAAGTTACTTGAGCATGTCAACCACTGTACTTGTGAACTTACTTGTGAGCATGTCTTCCATTTTACTTGAAATTACTTGAGCATATCAACAATTTTTACCTGTCAAGTTATTTGAGCAAGCAAGCCACTTTACATGAGAGTTTACCTGAGGATGTGAAGCACTTTACTTGTATGTCTACTTGTGCATGTCAACTACTTTTGTTGTCAAGTTACCTGAGCATGTCAACTACTTTACTTGAGGCTGCTCCAACAGTGCTGTCTTTCTTTAATTGAGTCTCTGGGGCAACTGTAGAGTACTTTGTATCATTTGCTGTTTGCATTTTGTGTCAATTTGGTCCAGGGTCTTGTATGTATGCATATATGTACACACAGTGTCATCAACGCAAAAGAAAGGTAGGCTAGCATCAATGGACATTGAAGCAATGTTTGAAGCCACCAAGGATAGAGCTGAAAGCTTAGGCACCATGTGAAGTTTGTGGGTACATGTTTTTCACAGTAGTTTGATGAGCCATGTCCATGTCCAGAGTTGTGGTGAGAAATGTCAAATTCGATTGCAAAAAATATGAGACTTGGATTGGAAAAGCAATTTTTGGAATGATTGTTCATCTGAAGTTTTGCTTGCTTTACTTTGCTCTGTTGGTGGTATCCACCAAGGTGTCTTGTTATTGTTCAATGTTGATGTTGGTACATGTGAGGAAATACGCTGGGCTTTGGAATCTTTGGGGTTGCAGCACACTGCTGAGATCAAAGTGGTCAAGCCAAAATTCAACAGTAGTGGCACCTATGACTTTGTCCCAAAGCATTGCACTGTGTTTCTGACACCTCCAACTGAAGCTGCGGTACCTGAGTACATTCGCCTATTGCATGGGCAGATCATCAGTGGCATGAGCTTGGAGGGCGACAGCAAAAGTTGCACTTGATTTATTGAACAAGTTTTGTCAGTCTTAGATGGTGTTTGAACCCTGACCCCAAACAATTTCAATTTGCTTATGCTATGTTGTCCCATTGACCTTGATATCTAAGGTTTGGAGGCGACTGTGGCTGATCCACACCTTCCTGCAATAGCTCCAATCCCTGCACCGCCTGCACCACCTGTGCCACCTCTTGCAGCTGCTATGCCCAGTGCTGTTTCTTGAATGGTGTTATGTGTGACTTAACATTTTTGTCGATGTTTGATGCAAAGGCTTTATTTGTGTATTGAAGTCAGGGTGCAACATTATACAATGTTTTTTCTGATGCTTCAACCATGAACCAAGGCTCCTTGGATTCCACCTCCAGCAGGACCACCAACACCTTTTTTGCATCCTGATCAGCTGGGATTGCGCCCAATACGCCCTCTGAGACCAGCTATGTGTATGGGTACTTCTGCTGTTGGTTGCAAAGCGCAAGCACCATCACCTCCAGTCTTTTGACTTTACTTATGCATTCTTTTGTACTTGTTGTTGAACTCAACTGTGTACTTGAGGTGTGCATTCTTTTGTACTTGTGTATTTGTTCATTGCCCTAAGTATGTTTGTGTTTGCTTTATTTGATTTTTTGTTTACTTGTGCATTTTGGTCAGGAGACTGCCAGCACATATGGAGCTGTTGATGCCAGCTTGGATCAACTAGCAGAGAATCTGTGGTACAAGAGTCTCAACAATGCGAATGAGGAGGAGGTGGAGGATGACCAGGAGGTGGAGGTGAAGGTTGAGATGAAGGAGGAAGTAGAGAATGAGGAGGAAGTGATTCAGGATGTTGAAGAGGAGTCCAGCAATGCCTCATTGGATGATCAAGACTTGATGGCACGCATGCAGCAGCACTTCGACAGGCAGACAGACAAGCAGGAGGAAGCAACAGGTTCTGCTGAGGAGGATGAGGATGAGAAAGAGCAGTTGCGTGAGGAAGGTGAGGAAGAAGAAGAGGAAAAGATTGAAGAGATAGAGAAAGATGCTGAGAATCAGAAAGGTGAGAAAAATGAAAAAAACAGAAAAAGAAATCAGCATCTTGCAAGCGCTCCAGATCCAGGACCAAAGCCAGAAGCAGAGGCAGATCCAGAACCAGATCCAGATCCAGGAGGAGGAGACGATCCAGAAGGGGAAGATCAAGCAGTTCTGGACATGAATTGCTACTCAATTTGAAGTTCAGTACCTATTTTGCTTTGTCACAGTCTGTGCAACAAAGAACCACTAGTATATGACACACAAACATGTTGACGTGTAAAGAGCTTTCAACAAAAGATAGCCACTGTTCCAAAAACAAGTGAATTGAATCCATCACCCAGTCAGGTTGAGGAAGCTTGAAAGGCATTTGGAGAAGAAGTCGAGGAGGAGAAGGCGACCCAGCTCCAACCGCTCATGACCTGATGTCACCCCAGGAAAAAGAGTGCTGAAGAAGTTTTGCCATACTTGTGCATTGTTTTGGACTTTCATGATGAAACCTAGGACTGTTTACATTACCTGAGTACTTGACACTTCAGCTGCATTACTTGTGTCTTTGTTCATGAATTGCTTGAGCACTGAACTTGTGCATTATGTACTTGAGCACCATACCTTGGAACAAGACTTGTGCATGAGTTACTTGAGTGCTTTATTGATGAGTTGCCATACTTGCCATACTTGATGATAAACATTATTTGGAAATGATATGATGACACAAGATTTCAACTACCATGAGATGGGTTGATATGATTGAGAATTGAATTGTGTATCTATACTTTTGTTTTTTGAATGCAAAAGCAAAGAACAGTAACATTAAACTATTACAATTATTTTATATGTTTGTGTTTCAAAATAATATGAAATCTTTATGAATGTCTTATGCAGTTTCTATGCAGTTCTTTTGCAGTTTATATGCAGTTCTTAAAACTTCATACTCTTTTTTCAAAACTTCATACATTTCACAAAAAAGCGTATGAAGTTTTAAAAACTACATGTAAATTGCATAAGAACTGCATAGAAACGGCATAAGAAATTCATAAAGATTTCATATCAATTTCATAACAAAATTGCACCAAATAGTCCATATTTTATTCAATGTTTTTTGAAGTTAGTTGTTCATGTAAACCACTTTACTTGTGCAATTACTTGAGCATTGCAACCACTTTACCTGTGAAGTTACTTGAGCATGTCAGCCACTTGACTTGTGAAGTTTTTTGAGCATTGTCTACAAATGACATGTATGGTTATATAGACATATATATATATATATTTGAGAATGTTGATGTGCTGTAACTTTCTTGAGGATCAATCATACATTGTGCACTGCTGGTGGTAGAGTCTAGCTGGATGAGTGATGCTGATGGTAAAGATGGTGCTACTTCTCAACCAGAAGAAGTCCAACCAGAAGTCGAACTAGCTGATGAGGAACCTGCTGTTATGAAGCGACCTGGTGCCAAGGTTCCCAAATCAAAAGCGACACCAAAATCAAAGGGGAAGAGCGCAGCAAAGAAGCCTGCCTCTGCCAAGGCGGTGATCAAGAAGCCTGCCATGAAGCCAGAGCCCAGGTCCAAACCCAAGGCTACATGGGCCTGTGGCTCAAAGAGCATCCCAAAGCATGCTGATGATATGGATGATGAGGAGCAAGCAGAGGAAGAGCAGGCTGAGGATGATCCAGAGTGTGAGGAGGGTGGTGACAAGTTCGAGATGTGCGAGACAACCAAGGACAGGTCCAAGGACTTTAAGTTCAAGACACTCCTTGCTCAAGGGTCTTTGCCTGCATGGCTGGTGACTGCTTGGAACAAAGCGTGCAAGATGAAGACAGGACGAGTGGCTGAGCAAAGGCGCCTGGTCAATTTGTGCTTGGACAGGACTCCAGGAGGCACTTTGCTTTTGAACTTGGACAAGCCACAGCTTCAGCAGACCAAGGAGTCATGTTACTTTACTTGTGAATGGTTTTGCACTTGTGCATTGTCAGTTGCTTGGGTAGAGTTAGCTATACATGTGAATTCTCAGTTTCTTGTGCATGGTTTTGTACTTGTGCACTTACTTGCGCATGGTTTTTGTACTTGTGAATTGTCAGTTACTTGTGCATGTCACTATACTTAAGCACAAAACATTACAGGGTTTGTACTGAACAACGAAGCACCAATATATTTGTTGATTTGAATAATCATATCTTTGAGGATCAATCACTTCAATCAACATATCACCATAAACTCCATTGTTAACCTGACAAGCACTGGCAAGCACTACACACAATGATTCAGCAGGAGACCTTTGAAACTACCAGCGCCACAAGCAAGGAGAAGGCACTCCCTCGCCTTCTTTTTTGCGGTAAGTTCAACTTGAGTGAGGATCAGTTCTTGGAGGGCTTGAATGAGGGACAATTTTTCCTGGTGAAGGATGCCCAGGGTCGGGAACTATACTCATGGCATCAGTCTGAGCATGCCAATACCTGGGGTACTTCCTCTAAGAACACCATGGAGAGTTCCAAGCAATTGACCAAGAATGAAGCAGCTGTGGAAAATGCTGCTCTCTCCAGCTGGAAGCATGGACTTCACAGTAGAGTCAACCCCAAAGCTTTGACAGCCGATGCAACTCCTTCCAGGTTGCCAGCGATTGCAAATGTCAAGAACAGTTTGACAAATGCACAATGGAATGCAGCACAGACCCAGCTGTATGAGGCCATCGCAGCATTCGACAAGATGCTGAAGCAGGCAAAGCAGCAACTTCAGGTCTTGGGATGGGATAAGGAGGACCACATCTACCAGAATTTGTGCCTTGGATTGTTTGTGCCAAATCACAACATCAACATATAAGCTTTAAAAGGGGTTTAAAAGCAATGACAAAAGTTGCCACACAGTTCAGCAGTAAACCAATATATTATTCAAGCACCACGTCTGCTAAAACTACACAAACAATTGAACAAAAGTCAAGTGCATGAACTGCACTTCTCAAGTAATTTTGAAGTACAGCACACAAGTACATTCCTTTACAGTTCCCAAGTAAACATGAGATGCAACTCAAGTGTATGAAACAATGCTCAAGAAACAATACTCAAGTAAAAGCAACATGCAGCCCAAGTACATCAAAACACTGCTCAAGTAAGACTCATGTGCAGATCAAGCAAATGAAATCCTGCTCAAGTAAAAGTAATATATCTCTCAAGTATACATGTAAAACTCAACTACACCTCAAGTATACATGAAATACTGTTCAAATACCACTCAAGTCCCACTCACTCAAGAAGGTTCTTCACTAATTTAATTCTTGTATTTTTCTGTCTTGCAAAATCTTTAAAGCAAACTCAGGAAGACCATGTGCAAAGAGATCCAAGATGAGAAGAACAAACTGGATCACTGCCTTCAGTGGCAAGAGCTCCAAGATGGAAGTGAGCTCACCTTGGCAAGCTATGACGACATGATGGGACATGCTGGCGTTGCTGCATCAAGGTTGCAGGAGAGCTTGGCTGGAGTGAAAGGTCAGCTGACTGCCAGAGCCAGAGCTACCAAGGCTTCATGATCTTGCTGATCTATGACGTGATTTTGTGCGCCCTTGGAGTCATTGGACTTTAGATGGAACTTTGCAGTGCGCAGCTGGAGAAAAATTTGGGATGGGTGAAATTTGAATGAATTATACTTAGATTTCCATGTGGAAACTTTTTCATTACTTGTGCACTGATACATATTCTGTGCCTTGCTTACTTGTGTGTTCTCAAATGTACTTGTGTTTTCTTGTGTAATCAAGTTGCTTCTTACTTGTGACTTACTTGAGCATGTTACCCTCAAAAAATACTTGTGCATTAGGTGTGGTTTTTTGCATCTTTAAGCATTTCTTGTGCACTGTGTGTGTATTTCTGGAAAACTGCAGTATAGTATTACTGATGGAGTGCCTTTGAACTATGTCACATTGTCTCAACCATTTTGAGTATCAATCATTGCTTTGTTGACCAGTTTTCTTTTGAGGTGGATCTTTCATTGGAGACCACCTTGCGCTACAGAGGTAAAAGGCGAAAGGGTGGACAGCAACAAAGATTGGCAAAAGTAGAGAGAGAACATGAGAGTTCTTCTGCATTGTACGCTTTATTGATGACATGGTTGGCCAAAGGAATCTTGTCAGGAGTTCAAGTCCATCAGCTAGCAGTTGCTGCCAAGAAAGACATTGCAGGTGCTGTGGAAGGACTGCAATACAATGATTTGGCAAAGCTGGCACAACTCCTTCATGGCAAAAATTTGGTCAAGAGTGTGCATGCATTGATGGCAAGAGTAAGTCCTCTTCCATCTCCCCTACAAGTTCCTTTGCCCTACAAGGATGGCTTGCATGATGCGTACATACTTTTGCCCCATGAAATCTTCGCTTACATGTTGGAGCATCAAAAGGTATGGAAGGCCAAATTTTTGGCAGATCCTACAAGGCTGAAAGACTTTTGGAAGTCCATGCAAGGACATCCTGCTTTGCGCAAGCACCCCCTGCTGGACAGACCAGGCTATGAAAATTGGTGTGTGCCTTATCTCCATTCATGGAGACGAAGTGCCATGCTATGGCATTGGGAAAATTTGGAGTCGATCTGCGCTAAGCTTCTCATGGTGCTCCATTGCCCAAAACTTCCTAGGAGGTGCATGCTCACAAATCATGCTCTACATCTTTGCACTCTTCGAAAAATTTGTTTGCCCCTCAACCGATCAAATGGCAGGAACAATGGAAACCTTCTTCAAGGTGCTTTCCTGGTCATTGAATGCAATGTGGGAAGGAAAATGGCCAGAAAAGGATTGGACAGGGAAATCCTTTGTGGCAAATACGGTTGAATGGTGCCCCAAAATGAAATGTATATGTTTTCTGCTGTCATTTTGTTTTGTTGTCTTTGCAAAATAGTATTTTAGACTATTTTTTGGAGCTTCCAAAACACACCACACAGGCAAAGAAAAGGACTTCCACTAGCTGGTGGTTATTATTGTGCACTGATATCCTTGATTGGAGATCTGGATTACTTTGCAAAATGGCTGGGTACCTCTGTGAGCACCAATCATGGAAAACCCTGCATAGGAGAGACCACCTTCATGGACAACAGGCCCAACAGCCCTTGGCAGCAAACATTACTGCGCTCAGATACTTGGAGACAGCACTGGCAAACAAAATGTTTGCTTCTGAGATTGCCTGGCTGCAACTGCTGGACTATAAGCTTGGACTTGATGCACAACCTTTGGATTGGTTGGTTGCAATTTGCTTATGGCAGCATCTTTTGGCTTTTGTGCTATGAGCTGCTCGACCAAGACCCTTTGACAAATTTGAAAAGCATTGCAGCATTCATCAAGGAATACCAAAAAAACTGTAGGCAGCAGAATCGATACAGGCACCGCTTAGACAAGCTCAGTATGTTTGTCAAAAAGGGTTTTCCAAAGCTCAAGGGTAGGGCTGCAGATATTAAAGGATTGGCTGGTGCTATGAATGCTTGCTGGTTGGCTTACATGCGCCCACACAATCAGCAGGATCAACAAATAGCTGCCTTTCTCACCCTCAATGTGGAGACGCATGAGATCTTGGATTCCTACAGCCCCAAGTTTGGGTACATAGGTGTGCCTGCTCCTCAATGTGATGAACTTTACAGCAAGGGCTTGGCAATGTCTCAGCTCCATGTGTGCTTGCTGGAGCACTTTGACAATGCAGGAACCCAAATTTGGAACATGACTTCGAAGACGCATTATTGCCTCCACACTCTTTACTTGGCTCGATGGATTCACCCAAGTCTTACATGGGCATTTAAAGGAGAGTCCACCATGAAAGCTGTGCAGACCCTTTGGCGCTCCTGCTTAGCAGGCAATAAGCATTGGGCTGTATGTAAAGTAGCAGCTTTCAAAATGAGGCACTTGATGCACTTGGAAGATGATGCGCACTTGGAAGATGATGCTTGAAGAAATGTTCTTACTGCAGAGTTTCACTTGCATCAATTACTTGTGAGGCTATATTTGTTACTTGAGAGCTTCTATTTTTACTTGAGCATTGGGAAAACATACACATGTAATATGCACAAGTAGATTACACAAGTAATATGCACAAGTAACATACACAAGTGCAAGGCCAAGGAACCAAAAAGCAGCAAACTAGTGAAAGAATATATTTCTATGAAGAACAAAAAAGAATCAAGTTCCAAGTGTTCACAAATGTGCTCAAAAGACACATCAAAAAAAGACAAAAACTGCATAAGAAGTGTAGGTATTTCTTATGCAGTTTTTATGTTGTTTTTATGCGTTTCTTATGCTTTTTCAATTTTAGGTAGTACCTAAATTAATTTACATTTTTGGGCTTGTGGCCCAACATTTACGAAAAACAGTAATTTACGTAATTATTAAATTTACTGTTTTTGGAGACTCAGGGTTCTACCCACGGCTCTTCGACGTGTACCTTCCGATCTTTGGAACGATCGCTTCACCAGCTACATCCAAGCCATCGCCCACGTCCCCGGCATTCTTGAACGCAATCCATCCTGTGTTCGTCTTCGGCAAACTTCCCTGCCGCCGATACCTCATTCTGCTGCTCAAGTTGGACTGGACTACCCCAAATCCCACTATTTCCGGACAGCCAAGCATCAAGCGGTTTACACCTTTGTTCACAATTGTCCTTCAAGGGATCCTCACTGATGGCTTCATTCGCCCCAGCTCCTGGAAACAGGCAAAAGATGGCGATCACCTTCCCAGCGTGGGCTTCTATTGTCGATGCTGCTATCCGAGACATGGTCACTACGATGACAACCGCATCAACAACGCCATCACCGGCACTTTGTCTGGAGAGCTTCAATGTGCCCTTCACATCGCCTGTGAATTTGGCGGTCGATCCGCCTCCCGGAAATGCTTCGTGGCTGGAGAGTGCTTCTCCCGCCAAGCTACCCACTTTGTGAAATCGGGAGGACTTTGATGCCTTGGCCAGCCACTTCTATGATGTGATCAGGAATAAATCGGACAAGAGGTTTAAATGCAGGAGCTCGGTAAGTCAGATTCAATATGCTGGATTGTTCATCAGTACCGATGAGTTACCGGCCTACGGCCTTCGTCGAAATGAACTTCCTTTCTGACATGTTCTCCGCTTACCTCGAGCTGTACCATAGCCCCTAGCAGCGCTGTGACTTATGGTCACTATTTTCTGCCATTGGATCGTTCTTCCCTCGCATAAAACCCACCAGTGCTCTTTGCCCTCTGTTTGGATGTTTTCTTGTTCACTCTCTTACACCTTTCCCACAGATTATGTATTGACCCTCACCTACAGTGGACCAAACTTAGACCCACCCCCCCTGAGTCTACTCCACTCCCTCCTTGCCATGGAAGCTTCCTTTTGGTCTACGTTGGAGAACCATCCCCAGCAGACACCGTTGGGTATCATCGCTCTACTGATCTCACGTCGCTCCCTCTTGGACTCGATCACACATTCCTTTGGAGGTCTTGTAGGAGATGCCCTACACCACTACTTTCCCTCCCGGTCTTCCAAACGATCTGGAACAACTTCTTCGTGATCTACATGCCTCCACCGAACGGATGCTCGAGGAAGCCACTCTCACCAATCGACTCCTGAATCGCTTGGCACTATATCCACCTCATGCTCTACACGCTCAGCCTTGGATTCTCTCTGGCTTACTTTGCCACTGTCACACCTGCCCCATCCTTATGGTCCCGGACCTCCTGCTTCCTTTAGCTCTGAGACGCAATCTTAGTGTTCACCAGGGCCAACTGACGCCCTCTTCCATCGGTTGCGCACCCGGAAAACAGGCCTCTGCGAGTTTCATGTCAGCATTCCACCCTTGTTTTCGTCACTTTCCGGGTTTGTGTGTTTTTTTAATGGGTTTTCAATTCCCCTTTTCCCTTTCACCCTTTCCCCTCCTCTCCGTAGCCCTTTGATTGATTCAGGAGATGCTCCACTTCGATTTTGTTGCAAGTCCTCCCACAGGCTTATACTCGCCGCCTCGACTGTGCCGCCTCCTCGCCAAGCGGTCTTCAACCCCTATGATATTCTAGTCAGTCCCCCGCCTGGCCCTGCTCGACCTCAGCCTCAACGTCAACCCGAACTTCTCTGGCTCCATTGGATGATTTGCTTGGCGGCATGGGTCACAGAATCTCTTTGCTGCCACCCTATCGTGGCTGAAGCAGTGCCCCCAGATCAATACTTTGAAACTACTTGCGCCCGGAACATTTACATCCAGATGCGCAGGGCCATCCATGAGTTCAACGTCCTTCAACGTCGCATCGCCCGTGGTGTCTCTCTCCTGCAGTATGTTGTCCCCTCCACAGTTCCTTCAACTTCCCATGGACAATATCGCGTCCATCCCAACGGTTTTCTTCGTGCATTGGGTTCCCCAGAAGAGAACTACACCCTTGGCACTACTGCAGATGAAGCTTTACTATCCCGTCGACAACCTCATCGCCAGTTCGACTCCTCCACTCCACCGGAATCACCGCCTACACCCGCCACTCCGGCTACACCTCCGCCCACCACTACACTACACCGACTCCTACCCGGTCTCGCTCCCGAACCCCCCC